TTTCTGCATTCTTGCAGGTTCAAGTTCATGGTAAATATCGATTTTCTTAGTTTTTTATGTTGAGATATAGGAATACAGTCGAAGTTGTTTTTTTAGGGCACGCTCCTACATGCAGACAGATTGTGGCTGCTGCATCGATGAAGGACGAAGAATGGGAAACGTGGACATGTGTGCTTGGTTTTCCAGTAATTGGTCTGTTGTGTTTTTTGCCTTTGACGACCATACATTTGCCCTGTTCCTTTTTTTTATTTTTCTATAATTGTGCCTCGGGTATTTTCTAGGTTAAAAGGGTTGCTATTTCAGTTTTTGGTTGGGGGCACATCATCATCATCATCATCATTACATTTACATTTAACAACCCTTTGGGTCATACAAATGTCTGCCCAGTCAACTACAACATCGAAATTTTAAAATTTACTGAGGTGATTTTGACATAGGTTGTAAAAGGTATCCGAATTTGCCTGCATCACAATACTGTCCATACAGAAACGATTGAATAAAAAAATGAAAACCTAACAGCATCAACCCTTCCGGACATCAGAACATAATGTGCACATCAGAACTAAACTTAGTTGTGCCCCATGGATGTGGCCAAAAACAATAGAAATTTAATACATGGTCGATCATATCAAATTAATGTGTAGGGAATCCGAGCCATTTCTCTATTCTCGGCAGTTGTAGGCCCTGGACACAACAAGCATTATTTTTTAGAATGCAGTTAACACAATAAACAAAGACAACAAGAAAAACATGGTTCTTCCTCTACCTTCATAACTATTCAGAAGTTTTGTTGCTGATAAACTATGCATGCATTTGTAGCCATAATGCCTTGCTAAGGGGAACTCAATAGAGATAATGACAGGAATTCTCAGTAAAAAATCTTCTTTGCAGTTGAGCCTCCAAGAATATAAATTTTAGGTTTAAGAATATAAAAATAATGAAATGTGTTTTGATTTTAGGAGATTAGATGATTTAAAAAAGCCCTCAAACCTACAAGTCATTGGTTACAATACATTGGTTGCTAAATATTTCTAAGTTGGTTAGGTAGTTCTAGGCTTTGGTGACATTTTATGCTATATGTGGCGGCAGATGTCTAAAAATTAGTGTTTTATAAAAATTGAGATTTTAATTGATATCATATAACAAGGAATTTTGTTTGTACTAAAGGGATCTGGCCGGAAGGCGCTGATGGTACGGACATAAACGCTTGCTGTCGGTCCAACAACCAGGAATACGTTGTGACGGGTGACGATTTCGGACAAGTGAATTTCTTCAATTTTCCATCGACCAAACCAAAGGTAACCTGCTTTACACAGATGTCTTTTGTATGTAATTTTTGAAATTTCTCAATATTTTCTCGTAATTTTTCAAGGGATGGAAGGAACCTTAAGGAAGCGCCTATGCCGTATAGTAGTGTACTACTTTAGAGGTCATTCTTTTAGTTTTCTGACATTTTAAAACATAATTGCAGCTAAGTCTCTCCCGATTAAAACCTTTCTTGCTCAAAGTTACTGTTCCTTCTTGTTGGACACAGGTCTGTAGAACTGCCTTTTCAATTACAGGAATTGTTTGAGCCCTTACTGAAGCTCACAGTAGAGCTGGAAATTTGAGCTCTTCTTGTTTTACCTTGGATGACACTTTGTTCATTATGATCACGCATCATTATCCCTTGGTCCACATTGTTTACAGTAAATTTATATCGTTCTAAAGTAGACGCCTTTGATGGTGAAGTTTCAGCTATAATGTATACAGCCCCATAAATTCATAGTCTGCAATATACTTTTCCGACCAAGCAAAATAGAATCCCTTACTTTGTATGGACCGATTTCAAAACTTTTTTTAATTCCAGCCTCAAAATGTCTCAAATGGAACCATAGCACCCCTATCCTAAAAATATATAGGTACCCTCCTCCTGGAATACGTTCTAATTCATCCTAGATAGATATTTTAACGCACCTAACTAGCAGCTTTAATGATACCTAAATTAGGAAGACAGTTAGTTTTGTCCTTTATAAACAACAAGACAGTAAAATTAACATCATCTTTATTCACCCAGGCTGACAGTCAGCGTTGCGTTGGTCATAGTTCCCACGTCACTTGTGTCAGATTCATGTATGATGACAACAGAATGATTTCCGTTGGAGGCAAGGATTCTGCAGTGATGCAATGGAGGATATCTTAAGTAAGCCATCTTTTTGCCACCAAGTGAACTAACTTTCTAGTACTTAGAAATTAGCCTAACTTCTTTTGTTAATAATTACTTTAGTAAGATTCTATTGTATACTACACTCGGGCATTTTTTCGAAAGGAGAGACGGCATGTCCCCGTATTGATCACTGTCTCTATATGACAACATGTTTTGTCGTCCTGACGTTGAAGTGGGATGCCGCTGAATGCCGTATACTCGTAAGGTCAATTTCATAACAATAATAGACACCATTTCAAATAAGTTGAATCTTTTCATTGTTCTTGTATATTCCATTCCGTATTCCCTTTGAGTATCTGCTGGTTCATTTCTTTTGAAGTACGTGCATGATAATAAATCCTCCCGTAGTGAAAACAACTCTACTGAATCAAATATCATAAGTACTTTTAGTAAGAAAGAAATTACTAGTAAATCTGCCTGGCTGCTTGAATGCATTAACACGCAAGTATTTAAAGTTTCACTGTTTGATTTAGGATAAATAATAGCGTTTATTCAGTAGGCTAATACCTAGCATACTCTAGCGATGTACTGTGTATATTTTCTGGGATTATCACAAAGAATACTTTATTGTATCGTAGACATTTTTCCATCAGTAAAAGATATGAAAATATCACGAAAAATATGAAAATATCACATGTTAATTCTTTTAAAAACAAGGAACATTTCTTTTTTCAATTCTTGAAGGAAATAGTTTAGCTTAAAAATGTTATTTCATATTTGATAGAAAATATTTAGATGTCAGGAAGAAAGTTGATATCATTCCAATAACACTATCTGAGTTGTTCATCTTTTCTTTCAATTTAATAAAATGAAGCATGCTTTGAGATTAAGTCACCATATGCATTGCATATGCATTTTCAATGATATATATTTGACATGAATGACAGAAATAATCTTTAACGCATCTTAAAAGTTGGACTGGCCGCCCAAAATGGCAAACGTGTCATCAACTCAAGGATCTTGTCTTTAAACAAAACGTTTTTTGGTTTACTAATGTAAATATCTCAGAAGGAGCAAAAATGTCACAAGTATTTTCTCGAAATCATTTGCCTCCTCCAATGACCTCAATCATATCAAAAAGGTCAAGAAGAAAAAACCAGCATTTTTCTCGCGCGAATAGTGACAGGCAAGTAAGTAATATAGTTGTGAGAAACCAAAAAAAACATACAAAAGAGTTTTACTAGATATCTAGTTTCTTTTTTCGTATTTTTTTTAAATTATAAGGAATTTTCACGTTTCAACCTTTTTTTAAACTTTTATCAATACGTACTATTTTTTTTGAAGTAAGACGTCAAAAATCAAAAATTCCAATTTTTCCAAGGCTTGCATTTTGGTGCAAAGCTCCAACCTAATTTTTCTCAAGTAAAACAGGGTACATGAAGTTTCCCGGCTAATAATCACATTTATTCTTTAATTCGCAAGCTTTTCATATTTCCGAAGTGTTTTTTAGAAAAATACTTACATTCGATATTTTCAATTTTCAAAAACGAAAGGCAAACCTTTTGCTCCATTCTCGAACCTAGCGTTCTTCTAGGAAACAAAATTTACTCCTGAACACGTCTAAACCTTTTCTAAACATTTAACCAACCTATAAGAAATATTTGGACCGAAAATAATGACCTTTTTTAAACATTTTAGATGACTCGATTATTGATAAAAAAGACTGTCAGTTTTTTCGCCACTTTTTTCGTCTAGAATCTGACCAAAAAAAATTGAATTTCGTTCTGGTATAGTAAAAACCCTTTTTAACAAAAATCAAAGACACTTGGACGGCTCAACTTTTTAAAAAAGTAATTTAGAAACTTTTTGCTTACATATGATTAGAATAAACACAAATTGAATGTAATTTTGCCATGAATGTCGTTTTCTTAAAGAAATGGATTTTCTAGGGGGCTCGGCTCTTGATTAAAAGATTAAGTCTATAACCTTAGAAAAATCATAAAATATTTTCAAACTCTTATTCTAAAAGCCAGGTATTTTGCTGACATATGATCAGAATAAAAATAAATTGAAATTAGTTTTGGTATGAGATAGTTCTTTTTAAAAAAGGACTTTTTAGAAAGCTAATTATTGAATAAGAGAATAAAGCTGTGTCATTGGAAAAATTATCAGGCTTAAAATATTTCGAAATTTGGACGTTGTACTGAATTGGAGAACTGCTCTTGCATCATCTGCTTTCTCAAAAGTGTGGCGAAATCGAAGCATCAAGTTAACGTTGGAGACTAGAATTTATAACGCCTGTGTTCTACACGTGCTTTTGTACGGCAAGAGACGAAGCGGAGAGGGCAAGAGAAGAAGCTGAGAGGGCAAGCAAAGAAGCTGAGAGGGCAAGAGAAGAAGCTGAAAGGGCAAGAGAAGAAGCTAGATGTTTTTGACCAGAAACGTTCAAGACGAATCCTGAGAGTAAGATGGCAGCATCGTGTACAAAACGAATCGCATCAAGAAACGCTTAGGGTAAAGTGAGAAAGACGCGGCTCCGGTGGTTCGGTCATGTGGCCCGGATAAACAGCTATAGAATTACTAAGCAGAAAATGGAAGTGAGACCACGAAGAGGTCAAGGAAGAGCTGAGCGGCAACGAATGACATGGCAAGCACCAGTTGAAAAAGACTTGGCACCATATGGATGGGGGCAAAGCGGCTAGCGCAGAGCCGGGCAGACTGGAAGGGTTTGTGTCCCGGGTCGGCGTCAGCTGAAAACGGAAGAAAAAGAAGAAGATTTTTTCTAGAGAAGGTAAGGCTATAGATTTTTTCAAAAAATTTTCTTCGAAGAATTAATTACGTCACTTACATATGGGCATTGACTTCAGCTCTGGAAAGATGGTAGTATTCTTGAAAAAGAAGCCTTTTGGACACGTCAATGTTTGCTAAAAAAATGAAGTTACAGCTTTTGAAAAAATCATCAAATTTTTTCGAAACTTTTTTTTTCGAAAACCAGTTATTTCCTTTACACATAAGCAGAGAATACGTAAATTGACTTAAGTTCTTGAATGAAGAACGTTTCCTTGAAAAATTAATAACTTTTGGACGTGTCAATTTTTGTTTAAAAAGTAAGATATAGCCTTAGAAAAATTGTGAAATGTTTTCGTAATTTTTCATTCTAAAACTTTGTTAATTCATTTATATATGAACAGAATATACATAAATTGACTTTGGTTTTGGAATGAAGGTCGTTTGTTGACACAATAAGGATTTGTTGGATCGGTCATATTTTGCTTAAAAAGAAAGCCTTAGAAAAATCATCCAATTTTTTTGAAATTTTTTTCTTCTAAATGCCAGTTTTCAAATCAAATTATAAATTGTCTGTTGATCCGGAATAAGGGAGGTTTCCTTGAAAAAGTAAGGACATGTTCGGCGGATCATTTTTGCTTAAAAAGTAAGGCCTTAAAAAATTGTAAAAAATCTTGGAAAAATTATCGGACAGGGTCAGGGGGAGGGGGCAAAAAGGTTTAGAGGAACAGGGGAATCCGTTTTTTTGAAGGGACATTAACGGTGATCAAGGGAACATTTTGACAAGTTCTCGATACTCTTTTAAAGAACATTAAATTAACATTGTTTGGGACAGGAGAGGTCTTTTGAAACTTTTTAGGAACACAGACATAGTCGGGCTATCGAAGAAACTTATTTAGTTATTTTGAAAGCAACAAAAGATGCGATCCTCTGCTTGCATACAAAATAAGTTATTTGTAAACTAAGATATTTCTAAATGTCAACATGTTGGCACCATTTTAAAAAAGGGTTTTGACCATTGCTACCTTGGTTCCTATTGAATGAAGAGAACAAGAAATTTCCTTCCATGGCAGGCACAATATTTGTAAAAAACTGCTTGGATTTCTCGAAATACAAATAGCTCAGATCAAACGAAATCACATCTTTTGGTAGCGTACATAACTGTCAAAAAAAGTTTAGGGCATGCTCCTAGAAGGAACGAGCAAATTCATGATAG